CTGTTGTTTATCTCTATATGCCTGTTGATGGCTGACTTGTCTGAATACCCATAGAGGTAAACATTAAAAGACATTAAAAAGGAAACAAAAAGACCAGAACATCTCCTCTCCAGAAAGCAACACCCAGATAAGCAGGGATTAACACCAGAAATAATACCAGACAATCAAGCAGTAAACAACAGCCAAATCAAGGAACTATCAAGGAGAAAACCACATCTCCACCAACACTGACAGGGCAAGCTACTGTATATAAACAGAGAGCAAACCCCACTCTATTCTAGCATGGAAGATGTTACCTAGCCAGGTAACAAAACGTCAGGAAAACAACCAAGCTCACAGAACCCCAAGGACTTCACGAAAAAATGTTTAGGCAACTAGTATTTTCTGAGTAGTTTTTTTTCCTAGCATATTGAAAGAGACCAAAAATACATGTTTTGAGACACCAGTATCTTTTTGGGGGAGACTTTGAATATATGAAAGTAATTGAAATGTGCACAGATAAAACTCCTGACTTTTAATGACACAATTCTATTCTGTTTTTCAGTCTTCCCTCAGCTGTATTTTCACATGCTACATCAGAGGAGAAAAATACTTTCCGCTACTGAAGAACACAAGAAATCTGAGTAACTCCAACTTCTTAGAGCTATGCCCATATATGTGTGCAAACAGAAACCTACCCAAACATGTACACTCAATCCAAGTTAATAAATAATACAGAGTAATATTTAGGTTGAGAAACTAAAGTAATCAACACTAGTAATTTTTTTAGTAAAATCATTACCCTATGAAATTGCATTTTCAGCATGTCCTGTTATAGTGAAACCTGTTTATTTTTTTTTTAAGGTACCTATAATCTATTGGCTAAGAACTACCATTATCACATGCTTGGGTTGATGGTCATAGATAAATTGGCGTGATTCTTGGATTAGGATTATTTTTTTATTTATGCAAAATTTACTTGCATGTCAGATACTTAACTTCATCATTATAAGAATATTATCTGGAATGCTTTTAAACATTTGCCTAAACTGCCATCAGCCTACTAAAGGACTTCCTCCCAAGACTGCTGATCCTGATCCAGGACAAGATCATATTCCTTGGAATTTGAGGCACAAACCTAAACAAAGAGACAGTATTACCATGATAATAGCTGTAATCAGTTGCATAAGCTGCACAACTGATTTTTTTATGGAGTGGGGCCTTAAAATACTGCATTGTTGCACAAGAGTGAATTGAGTGTTCTAAAGATGCAACTTAATCTTAATACCTCAAACTTGGATGTTCTCTTGCTATTGAATGCTTCCCCCCAACCTTATTTTACTAAAATGCACCCAACATAGCTAATTTGTTTTTACAATCCATGTTTTATTGTTGAAATACAAAGAAAGTAGAAAAAAAACCAAATGTTGAAATACAAATAAAGTATATAAAGATAGGAAAACAAGATCAAACAAAAAAGACTGCTACATTAAAGAAAACATAGTGAAAAAAAAGAAAAAGTAAATTACTTTTTAGTGAGACATCTTCCCCCTCTCTTTCCTTTGTATTCCTAACTACTATACTAGCTTTAACTAATTTGTGACTGGCATTGACAAAAAAAAACTTTGTTATGGCTTTAAATTTGTTCTCCAAATTCATCCAATTGTAATCTGTTAAGAAAATGTTTGATTCTTTTAAAAAAAGAAGCATTTGGGGAAATTGAAGACACTTTTCTTTAAACCTGTTCATTTAAAATTCAAAACATTTTAATGGCTCCATTAATTTTGGTCCTAAAGATGATGCTATTGCAGGAGAGTTTAATGTGTTTCAAAGCTATCTTGTTTGGAAAATTGACATTTTATATCAAAAACTGATAAGAAATCTTTGAATACTTTTTATTAAATAACTGCTTTGATAGTCTTGAAGAAAATGCAAATCATTATTTATACTTTTTAATTAGAAGCCATAATGAAAAGGAGATAAACTTTATTATTGCTAAAAAATTATACTTTTTAAAGTAGTGCAAAACATTGTGAAAGTGAGGTCCAAAGGAAAATGTCATAGACTCATTACAATATCTAGTGCTACTCATCCGCCATATACATTTAGTCCTAAATTTCTGCACATTCACATATAGTCTAAGTGCATCCACCTTATTCCCTCTTTATTCCATCACAGTAACTTACTTTGCATCACACTGCCACATTTTTCTTCTGTTCTGCTGCCTTGGGGAGAAAAATGCCATCTAGAAACTTTTGGCATTCTTGAGGATCATTCTGTATAATGTGATTTTTTTTTGCAACTGACTCCCATTAGTTCCTCCCAATCAGGCACATACTGCATTATGTTAAAGAGTTTGTCTCATTGATTTGTCTGTAACAACTTCATATCAAGTAGCAGCTTGTATTAAATGGTTCATAGCCGAATTTATACAGAAAATGTAAGCATACATTTGAATGAAGTTTGGAAGAAGAACAGCACTTAGCTCATTCCTCAATTATCCATTTGGTGTGCTGATGAGACAGTCTTTCCTTTGGGAATACGATGGCTTATGGTTGAGAGCAAGTCATGCCATCTGATCATTCTAAGCCTGTAGCAAAGATCACTCTATTCTTCCCTTTGTATACTACCAGCTTAGCACATCTGTTCTACATTGAAATGGATAACATTGCCACTTCCATGTCTTGCAGGATTGTTAAATTATAGCATGCATTTTCTTAGAATTTTTGGTAGCCATTTACATCCCCAGCTGGACATTAACAAAGTAGCCACATTCACTGATTCAGGGGGTTGAGGTACAAATTTAGCACACTGTTGGCCATTTCTTTGTATTCATAACTGACAAGAAGATTCTATCACACTCTGGTTCAGTTTTCTCCTTGTGCATAGGCTCAGGCTGTCTTATGAAGACCATGCTTTCTGTATTAACTTCGGAATGGTACATTCTTGCCAGCTTGGACATTACACAAGTTGCAGTTTATAATTTGAGTCCATCTGGACCATGCAAATGTTTTTCTGGGCTTTAGGAGCCTAACAAATATTGCATAGTCTCTTTTTTCAGCTCACCATACATCTCTGCAGGAAAAGAATGCACATGGAATACTTTACTACCTCCGTCAGCTGTAGCTGCTGGTCAAGTACTTGTGTCATTGGCACAAGACAGTACAAATCAACTCTAAATCTCTGCTGCTGTTCTTAAGGTCTGCTTTACATGATATGGGGTAGCAATTGTGTGATACAGGTCTATGCAGCACCTGCCTGCAACTCATGAAAGCAGTTACATCTGCCCCTGGATTGCATAGCTGCTGCTTGATGGATTCCTGCATCAGATAATGGACTAAATAATCTCCAGGATTACCCTTCCAATCCTTACATTCTATGATCCTGGAAACTGACATGGCTGTTGAACTACAGAGAAGTGCTGCAGCAACGTTTCTACATATTCATTCCATCGCTCTTCTTCCAAATTGAATCCAAGACAACAGCCCAATGTTTTATTTCTGATGGGTCAGTCCTGTCTCCTAAGCAGATTTATCTACTCTTATATGGCAGCATACATATTGTTTTGATGTGATGGATTTTACTTGATCCGTAATAGTATTTTCTTTAAGCTGCTGTGCTTCTGCTGCCATTCCTTCTGTCACGTCTTTGCTTGCATAGGCTCAATAAGGCTATTTTGTAAGCTGCTTTAAAATTTTCCTGGTACTTTACAGCAGGGAATGGTAGTTTCTTTGCTGCTGAGAGCTACTCTGTTTTTGTTTGCTTGTTTGTACTGCAACCAAGAGCCACAAGGGAGATGACCATGTTGTGATGATGCCACTGAACAAAGCAGGACAAGATTTTACAGACTTCCATTTAGGTGGGACTGGGGCTTTTTTAAACAAAAGATGGGCACACTGAGTTTATTTTAGGGTCTCTTGGCGTTGCAAAACAAAGGCTGGCCACGAGAGGAAAGATTTAAACACATTTGGCTCTAAAATTTTATAGAATAACTTCTTGTACTAGTTGGGTGAAATATATCCCAAATCCCATTGTTTGTCCTTACTGTTTTTTCCAGAGCCAAGTTTATTATTTCTGAAGCTCTTGATGGGGAAAAAAGTATCCACCGTTAGGAAACAAAACCAGTTCAGAAACTTTTCTTTTTAATACCCACTTTTTGAACTTCTAATAAAGGTAGAACAACTTTCTGAAACTGTTAAGAAGTGGCCATGTCTGGCTTGAGGTTTCTGTAAAGCTTTTACAGAATCGTGTTCTTATAAAATAACTACAGTCTGTTTCTAAGTATTGTGTCTCTTTCCTCTGAAGCATTCACTGGATTGCAGACTTTTAATTCTATTTGCTTTATGCCCT